AAACAGCAGGCGCCGGGTCGAGGGTGAAGATGCGGGATGGCTTATTCGTTGATCGAGGCCAGGTCGGCACATGACAAAGCTGGCCAAGAAAACAAATCGCATCAGAGGGTGCGACGCAAAGAGTGTTGTGAAACGGAGAGGGAGAGCGGAAATGGGGATGATGGCAATGGCGATGGCGATGCAAAGAATCAGCCACAGGACATGAAGAACAGTGAACCCTGAAGGGCGGTGGGCGGTTGGGCGATTGGGTGCTTAGGCGTAGATGATCCAATCGTCTTGGGGGAAGGAGCAATGGGCCTAACTGCCGTCGACGACCTTCCGGCCTGCTGGCACATTGACTGTCCTTTGTCCTTTGACTAATCCTTTGACTGCTCTCTTTTTCCTACTACGGAGTACGTATTAACTCCATACGGCACTCCGTGCTCGTGTATGTATACACCTTGTCTGCATGTCTGCTTGCGTACATACGGAGTAGTGCTTGCATGTTTGTCTGCATATTCGTCTGCACTTTATCTCGACGAGCCATCCATCGATAGCATCCAGCAGTCACTTGGCCAACTCGAAAGATGAAAAGTGGAGGTGGTGCGCCCTGCCGTTCGCCTCACTTTCCGAAGGCTGCCCGTCACGTCGTCTACCCCGTCGAAATTGCTGCACCAGTGCAACATGCCTTGGGCAATGCATGCATGGGCCACGCCCATTGCATCGTCGACGCCCACTTGGACTCTCATCAACCTTGAGCTTTCGGTGAAGAGTGATCCAATCAACAACAGCCATGCCCACCGGAAAATCCGGTGCCTCCCCCGTGTACGGAGTACTACGGAGTACTAGTACTCTGGATCTCTGAATAATCAAGGGTTCGATGTCAAACTTGGTGGTGCTTTCATAGTCCTCGACATCTTATCAAGGCGACCATGAGGCAACCAGGAGGGGTCCAAAATGGTGGAATTGACCACACACCCATCCCGTCCTCATCCCAACGGTGTTGGCAAGTCCTTTGTTTTGCGCCTGATCTAGCCAAGTCGAGGGTCCTCGTCTGCGCAACACCCTGCGAAATATTTCTGGTGTATCCCACACCCTTGGTAACGATGGACCACGCATTTGATGGTGTCACTGTCAACCCCGGCAGTTCTCCAGAGTGCGGAGTAGAGATGCTCAGCCGTGGTAAAAATGAAAGATGCGCAAGACATACAAATTGCATGAAACGAACAATACCATGTACTCTTGCCTCTATGGAGTACTGTAGCAATAATACGAAGCCATGTAAATCGAAAACGTGATGCTCCGTACTCTGTAGAACAAACTATTCACTTGTTATCTACGGAGTAATGGTCTATGGGCTGGGTTGGTTGGGTCCAAAGGATTCAAGTCGCCTCGCAATACTATACTCCGTAATGATCTCGCAACCGAAAGCTACATGGAGCCCTTTCATCTGACATTGCACACTGAACTACGGAGTACGTACTCCGTACTCTCGCCATTTCTTGGCATTTCGGAGCCAACATCCCCATACACAATTGATGGATGGACTGGCACACAACCAGGAGCGTTCCAACTTGGTCCCGCGGACACGGCAGAGAGGAGAGAGACAAGAGGATCCGGTATTTTTTGTGCCGTGACTCGAATGATGGAGTAATCAGTGGCCGAGCTATGTCAAGGGCATGGAATCTTGGGCCCGACCAACCTTTTGTTTTCTCTTTCCCCCTTTTCTCATAATGGTTACTCCATGTCCAACCTTGTGTAACAACAAACCCGTCATGCTACTGTCGAGCCACGTCCGCGTCACGTCGGAAATAATGTCATGTTGGACAACTTTGGCAGCAATAAGATGAGGAGGAGACGTTTTCACTGCGAATAGGTTGTACTCGGTACTTGGAGACCAAAAGACTCAGGTCGTTTGTGTTTGCATTGTCTTCCACCGGCAATTGTGTTCTTCGAGGTCTTGATAACACAATGACGACAAATCCTCGTATCTGGGCCAATGAATGAAATGAACTTGTTTCTTTTTCTCTCTTTTTTTTTCTTTTCTTTACTGTGGTACTCCGTAGTAGTAGAAGATCCGTGATGACGCTATTCCATATTTCTAGCTCCCTCAACGACACCAACGACATTATAGCGCTTGGAGAAGAATATTATCCAGTCGTTGAGCGTCTCTTTCTCCTTATCCTCCAAGTCATGCCACTCAGCCTTGACATCTTCTGGCTTGGTAGACGTCTTGCCAAGGGCCCTTGACGCGTCTTTTCCTGCAAAGACTATCGTTTGACATGTCAGTTTTTAAGTTTCCGAGCTCAAACCAATTTCTTGCATGGTTTCACAAGACGCACCGTGATATGACCCCCCAGGCTGGTATGCCTTGTTGCCAGTCACATCGTAAACCTTGCCCTGCAGACGATAGGTCAGTTGACGCGCTCCGAAAGCCCAGTAGTTTTTGAACAATTTGAAAACAAGCAAATTCTCCTCTTCTTCACCTCATACATACCTTGATGGCCACGTAACACTTCCCGCCGTCCACTCCTGCATTTCGCTAGTTAGTATCACAAGCCTGGGTCTGTGTCATGCTCATGTGCGCAATCGTCCGGAACCTCCGCTCCAAAAGCAAAGAGATGGCAATCCACCTCGTCGTCTCGGCTCGATGGTGAATCGATGCTATTCCAACGCCGGCGAAACAGCAAACATTTCCTTGGTTTTTTTGTGATTTTGCAGCCGCACGGACACACACGCGCACACAAACACATCTCTCACATGGGAGTCGGCGCTTCATGGAGGGGTGAGATGAAAAACATACCGGTTGCCTTTGCCAACTCCTCTACGGAGATGGGGTCATCCTTGGGCGGGTTCAACTGGACGGGGACCTTGGGCTCGAATCTGCCAGCCATATTGAATTGTCTTGCAAATAGCGTGAATTTGAGTGGTTTAGCAAAAAGCCCGATGATGGATGGAACGCAACTTCATGGCCTCGGTCACGGAAACTCCCCACCTCGGGCCGCAGAATATCATGACGCACGGGCCAAGTCGGGACTAGCGTCGATTGCCTGAGAGCAAAAGCGTCACTGCCTTTTTGTGACGTTCAAGTGTGAACAATTTTTTGGAGCATCGCGCTCCGACCCTTTCGCGCGGCAGTGCGCACCAAGATTGCAGCAATGTCTGTCACGGCGGTTGCTTCATTCAGGCCCTTGCAAAGGAGGTGTCTTGTGCATACTACGACCGGGTTATTATCGGTGCAAGTCAGGTCACGATCCGCGAGCTGGAGCCTCCGAGCCGTGGTGAAGTTGCAGCCGCATCAGGCGAGATATCAGTCGAGCGCGCCAGGAAACAAAGATGAGCCGCCCAAGCAAGAGAAGCGAGATAGGCCGCAAATGTCTTTCCGGCAGTTTGTCGGGCGTGGGCTGGGAGCCAGTCTGCGCAATTTGGCTGTCGCATTGAGCCCTCGTGGAATTCGAACCGCGTACAAGGATTCACCGGTTGTGACGAGCATGAATATCATTCTGTACACCCTTCTCTCCCCCAATTGCCATTCACGAAGCTGTGTCATGTGCTGATTCCTCTTTCTAGGCTCGCATTCACCCTTGCCATATCCGTCATCGCCATCCGCTCCTACATTCTCAGTTTCTACAACTCCAAATTCAGCCGGTACCCTGAACCCGTGGCAAACACCTTGCGACGGGCTATCTACTACACCAACTACAAGCCGGATCCGGAGATGGCGTTGAAATATTACAAAAAGGCCATGGAGCAAGTGAAAGAGGTTGGGCTAGACCCCTTCTCAGACGAAGTGCTCGGCATTCGCATCCAGGTGTCGTTCTGGCTGCAAAAGATTAATAACTACAAGGGATCTATTGATGTGCTGGAGTCTGTGTTGCAGGATTGCAAGAGGTGGGTTGGTGTGATGGAGCAATCCGTCGCTGACGGCAAAGTGAATGAAGCCGGCAGATACGTGAATGAAGCTACAGGAAGCCAGCCTGCCGGCGGTGAAACGGTCACTGTCGTCCCTCCCAAAGACAGCATCGCCAAGGCGTCCGAGACGAAGAAGGACGGCGAGGCCGAGCCCGAGCCCGAGCCCGAGGTCGAAACACTCTGGCGGAAGAGACAGCGACTGCTGGCCAAAGCTATCGGCACGGCAGTCAAGCTAGGCGAGATGTACGCCGACGAACACGTACTCCAATCCGACAAGTCACACGACCACCTAGTATGGGCTGTAGAGACATCCCTCAAGGAGTTCAGCCGCCGAAAAGTCGACGGCATCAAGCCCGGCGAGCAAGACTGGCTCTCGCCCCCGGAACTCGGCGGCATGATGGAATCCCTGGGCCGAGCCTACGAGCGCCGGTCTCAATTCCAGCTCGCCGTCCCCTTGTTCTTCCAGGCCCTCAAACTCTGCGAGAGCCCGTGTCACAGGGCCATCATCATGAACAACCTAGCCGCATGCTTCGCCCAGCAGCCCATCTTCTCTCCCAACGCGGCAGAAGTCTCCGTGGCCATGCAGCAAATCTCCGACCAAGCCGCCCTCCCGCAGACGCGCAAGGAGTGCCTCGAGGCGGGGCTGAACTGGGCCCAGAATGCCTACGTCCACGGGAGGGATGTCAAGGGCGACGACAGGACGGCCGAGTGCGACGAGGCATGTGCCGTGGCTCTGTGCAACTGGGGTGACGTGGCTGCTATGCTCGGGCAGAGGGAGCTCGCACGACAGAAGTATAGGCAGTGTATAGAGATGAGTCAGGAGATGGAGTTTGCCGACGGTGTCAGGCAGGCCCAGGAGGGACTCGCCAGGTTGACGACCACGCCTGACAGCAAGGTATAATAAGAAATTGGCCTCAAATACGTCAAGCAAGCGCACATTCAATGTCTTTGTCAGAGTTAAAAAAAAACAGAGGGCCCAATTTTGCAAAAGTCAATGTAGATTTAGAAAAACACCACCCCCTCACAAGAGAGATGTATAACAAAAAGAAATGTACCGTTAGACCATTCTCATCCACGACGTGCGTCTCAAAATTATCCCAGTACAGAACCTACACAGACACCAAGTCGGCATCAAGCTCTCCGTCACCGCCTCTCAGACCCTCCCTCAGTATATTGACCTGCTTCTTCATCTCCCGCCACAGCACCAGCTTCTCCAGCTCGGGGTCCTCGTCATCCTCTGCACCACCCAGGACTTCCACCCAGTCATGCGCCACATCAACCGTCAACACGTCCATTGCCGTGATGATGCCATCCGGCTTCTCGTCCCGCGCAATCGCCAGCAAGGCGGCCACAAACGCCTCCTGCATGTAGGCGAAGCTGAACCTGCTCGTGATCCCGGCAATGGCGTCGCACAACTTGTCGGGAAAGCTGATTTCCTTGTTGTCCTTGAGCTTGGCCTGCCAGAAGTGGCAGTAGGCTATTCGCTCGCGGAGATTGGGGTTGGGGAACAAGTATTTACGATCGAAGCGGGAGGGGCGTCTCTGTAGTTTTTGGTTCCCCCCCGCAGGGAGCACATGTTAAATTCCACACCAATGTGTTTTTCTTTTTTTGAGGGTGGGTTTCAACGTACCGAGATGCCTGGGTCCAGACGTTCGAGATGGTTGGTGCTGCCAATCATGAAAATGCCATCGTTTTCCTTGAGCCCGTCCACTTCGTTGAGAAAGTAGCTCCTTACCGAGTCAGAGACCAGCGAGTCGAGGTCTTCGAAGACGAGGTAGCAGGGCGCGAATTGTCGTGCCTTTGAGAAGATGGTCTTGATGGCGTACTCTGGGCCCATGAACTGCGCGGGATTGGTCTCAATTAGCCAAAAACAAAACCTTTATTTTCCTCACGGCCAATCCAGAGAGATATGGGCGAGGGGAGGGCAACAGGGTTGTAATAGCTCACCGAGGCCAGGGACCTCACATACAAGGTCGGGACTTCAGGCTTCATGTCATATAGAGTGTGCATCATTGCCTTGATGGAAATCGTCTTGCCGTTGCCCGGAGGCCCGTAGTAGATGATGCCTCTCTTCCAGGGCACCTTCAGCCGGCGATAGGTGCCCTCGGACTGGAAAAAGGACAAATGGTCGTTGATCAGGTCGCTCTTCATCTGGGCGTCCAAAATGACGGCATCCCACGAGGCCTTCATGACGCTCTGGTACAGTTCGGCACTCTTGGACCAGTAGCCGCCGTCATAGACCCAAATCTCCTCATGGAGCGAGCTGGTCCATTTCCCGGCGGCAAGGACAAGGGCCTCGGAATGATGCTCGTCGCTGGACAGGAGATAGGCATATGTGTAGCTGCTGAGTCCCGAGGAGCCATCTAGCCCATGGGCGATGTACAGGATAAAGTCGCGAGCTTGCCATTGGTAGTGGAACTTGCCGAATCGAATGTCCTGGGCAATAAGGCCATTGCTGCCTCGGACCCTTCGCTGGGCCGGTTGGTAGGCGTTGACGGTGACGGATGATGGGAGGCCTGAGTTTGCATCGTCGGCGAGTGGGGTGTATTTGGCGAAGCCGTTTGCCGCAAAGCCCAAGAGGTCGACCTGGCTGAGGATGGAGAGTTTGAGACTGGGGTACTGTTCCTTGAGAGAGGCAGCGAGGATGGTGTTGGTGCTGGAGGCCTGGCCGGAGAAGTGCTCAAAGTATTGTCTCGTTGTGTTATTTGCGGCGACTTTGGATGTGCTCCATCCGGTGAATGAACCGGCGGTATTATGAGACTGAGGGTCCATGATTGGGCTGGTATATCCTTTTTACATGGCACAGGTGAAGATGCCAGATGCTGTCGTCGAGTTGCGGGGTCGGTTGGAGAATGGATGAACCGTTATCTGGCAGACGGAGGACGTTTCGGAGCACCGAACAACAATTAGCCTTTGCCCAGACTGGTCCGCAACGCCCGTACCGACTACCGAGATGATGGGAAATTGAATTATTGGTCTCGGCGGCTGCTCATGGGCCATTGGTCGTCCAAGTTGCCTGGTGGAATCATGCCCCAGTTGTGACAGGCGAAACGTCCAATCTTGGCAAAAGACTAACTTTATTCACCACGAGCGGAGAAAAGACCAGACCAGAGGGCTTGCTCCTTCATACAGATGAACGTATGGAGTATATCATTGACATCCGTTGGAATGTGGCACTCCTTCTCTGCGCATGCATACATACATACATACTCTCGCCACACATATTGATTTGATACGCATGGGCTGGTGTTTTGGGTTCCTTGTATTTGCGTCAATCGAGTCTATTTCTGATTGACTTTCCAAATTGACCTTTTCAATACGGCAAGAGCCACTTACGCTGCTCAAGTTTCGGACGTCTATTGACACATAGCACATCATCGCTATCACCGCCACCATCAGCCTGGTCCAAATCCTCTCTCCTCACCCCTCGCCTCGCTTTCGCTGCCCCTCGCCAATGCGTTTTGCGCTGCATCCGCCATTCCAAACACGAATCTGCGGATGAATTCACGCAGACGACACGGCCCCCGTCGTGGCACTGTCCTGCATGTCCTGCACCAACTGCGCCACAGGCCATATATAGGCCATCAAATGATGCGTTATCATGGTCCAACACACCCAACAACCAACAGAATATTGGAAGCCCAAAGTACAGTAGTTCAACCAACGCATCTACCCAGCCCTATGCCACCTCCCTCCCATTCCATCCTCCATCGCCCACAGCCGCCATCGGCATCCGCCCCAGCCGACTGGCTCGCTTCCGTTTCTGCCTCGACTCGACATTGACCTCGTCGTCCTCTCCATCCGCCTGTCGCTTCGTTCGCGACTTGGAACCCGCCCGAGAGCGAAGCGACGCGGCCATCGTACTGCCCATGTCCAGATTTGAACCCAATTTCATAAAATTCCAGTCGTTTCGTAGCATGTAATCCAGTAAAGAGCGGCGAGATGCCAGGCTTCAACATCTTGATGAAAAACGCCACAACCATCCATACATCATCCATGGATCACCAATCCGCAAGTCCATCCTCAGCGGAGCTTGTGCCCCAAACCACAGCAACCGCCTCGCCACCAATTCCAATCCCATGGCTAGACTTTCTCGAAACCATGCAGACGCTTCCCGAACCGCAAGCGTCCAGCATGGCGGAACCACACGGCCCCGTGGCATACCCGTATCTCGATGCCCTCCACCAGGAGTTCCCAGTGAGCCCAGCCCAGCAACCCACGAGCAACGACCAGACAGCCACAAAAACTAAACCCCAGCTAGCACAACACGGAATTCATAAACGACACGTGTACGCCAGCCCAACCAGCACGGCCAGCGAGCCATCCGCGCCGCACCTATCCCAAGACACGCAGGCCAGGCCTCCACGGAGAAGGGAGAATCGATATCGCAACGCTCCCCCGAGCGTCCAGTCCGTGCGTCAGGCACCACCAGCAGTCTCGTTCAGACAAGCCGTGAACTAACCCCCATCCCTCACACAGCGGCGCCGGGCGCAGAATCGTGCTTCGCAAAGGGCGTACCGGGAGCGCAAGGAGCAGCGCATCCGCGACCTGGAGCACCTTCTCCAGGAGGCCCATCGGCGCGAAGAGACGCTCACGCAGGCGTACTTGTCCCTGCGGACGGAATACGAGAGACTGAGCGGCGAGCAGGAAGACAGGTCGAGTATGGGGACACCAACGCCCGTCACCGGCGAGACGATGCCAGCTCGCCTCCGTGCAGCTTCCGTGCAGCACTGCTCTGATGTTGCGGGTGGCTTCGACTTCTCGCCCAATGCGTACGAGTACGCCGACGACACCCAGCAGTAGAACAAACAATTTGCTATGGCGTTACACAACCCCCGTTTTTTTTTTTCTAGATAGACGCGTTTCACAGCCTACATTTAGACGAGCCTGGTGTTCAATGGCGCTGAGAGTTTATGAAAAAGGAGAATATTTTATCCATTACCGGTGCCGGCGTCCGGTACGTCCTGTCCTGGTTCATAGAATGATTATCAATAGTCGTCATTTCCGCTCAAGAAATACATACATGTCCTGCTCCAGCCCAAAACAAGTACGCCATAACACCGTCATGAACTAGCCGCTGCTATGCCTGTTTAAAACTACCCCGTTTTCTGTCTCTTCGCATCGAGACCGGCACCTCCCGTTGTGGCGGCCGCATTCGTTCCGTTGCCTTGCGCAGATGTGTTGGCTGGTAGGTCAATCAAGGGAGCTCTTGCCGCGCCTGTCTCGCCAGGTAAAGGTCTCTTCATTGTGGGTGGTTTATAGCTTCCTCTGTTTGCTAGGGGGCTTCCAGGACCCCCGGGGGCACCAATCCTCCGTGCTTGGTCAAGAGATGGGTTGACAAGATTGCCTCTAGTTGCCGGCCCCCCTGGTCGGACTGGAGTAAAGCCAGTAGCGCTAGATGATGGTGCACCAGACTGGCTGTTTGCCGGCGGGACGTGTTGTCCGTTTCTGGAAACCGGTTTTGACGATGTATGGTCAATCCCTGGCGTTTTCCTGATTGAAGGACTTTCAGCTTTGGGGTTGAAAGCGTGGGAGCTGGCCAGCCCCTGTTCCCTGGCATCAGTATTGCGGCTGATAGATCTAGCGGAGAAAAACATTGCTGTCTCGGCCGCTGGAGGAGGCATTGGCGGGGCAGGCATGTTGTTCATCTGCGGCGAATCTCGAACGGCGCCACCAGATTGCACATTTCCACCACTATTCGGTGTTTGCGGTGCTCGGTTCCCCGAACCTCCAGAAACAGCCCTAGTTGTTGGACGGCTTGGTCCCTGTGCTTGTGCTTGTACTTGCCCTGGCTCCTTGGATGGCGGCTTTGAATGCTGTACTTGTGCCCGCACGGGGCCCGGCTGGTGAACAACGATTTCGTCTGGGTGGCCTTCTCCTGGAACACAGAAGTCGGCCTCGTCGAGTTCTACTGATATTCAGTTTCGATTTCTTCGAACCCGTCTGAGGAAAGCATACCACCGAGGAAGTCTTCAAAAGACTCCGTAGCTTCCACCTTTACGGTAGCTGGCCTAGTCGTGTTCTTGATAGGCCCGGCCGTCACAGGTGTCCCACTCATCGAGGCGTCCTTCTTGACGAAGTCTGAATGTCTGTGGAGATTATCTTGGTCAAATTTTTTCACAGGTTGCGCCTTGACCTTTGTGACCTGTTTCACGTAGTCTGCATCGTAGATGCAGTTGCCAAGAACATTTCCAAAGCTTCGGAGCGCCCTCTTCAGTCCGTCTGTTGTGCCTTCTTTCTTGGCTTTTTCAAAGGCCATTGCCTTTCCCTTGGCATTCTCTATTGAGCCGTAACCGATATCTTCGTGGTATGTTCCATCTCGCAGGGTAACCCGAACAATCACCGAGAGGCCGATGCTGACGCGCTGGGTTTGAGGGTTTTCGTCGGCAAAGTCGACTTGAATATTCTGTATCGACGATGACCATCCATTGAATCCAAATACTTCGTTGGCTAAGCCAATTACTTTCTCAGCTGTAAGGTAATGCACGCGTGAACCACCAGGTCCGGACCGTGACGAAATGTACTCTGGGCCGAGTTGCTTGTCAAGTTTCGAAGCAATGGTAGCAATTTCCTTGGCTGTCCAGCCCGAAACTCGTGGTTTAGCCTCCTCAAATGGGTTTTCCCACGAGGTATGTTGGTCGCCTGGGCTGCTTGCAATTGTCAGTGAACGGTCTTGTACAGAAGACCAGAGGGAGTGCACGCACGCAGGCATGATAAGCCAGAATCAGAGCACCGTGTTTCATCGATGTCTGGATTTCATGAATATTGATTCCGATGATTGGCGTCGTCGGGGAGTGCTCCGTCATTCAAATAGTCACCGCTGACCACCTCGATATCCGGGGTGCAGTTGCGTCGCGTTCCTCAGATTTGGCGCGTCTGACTTGGGCACGGGTGAGCACGTGACAGATGTGATGGCTAACCTCAACAAGATGAATGGGTCAGCACCTGTAATCTCGGCAAGGGCCGTAATCGCCCCACCTTGATAAGATCCGTCACCCTAATCATCAGACCAGTTGGTGGCTATTTATATCCATTGATTGCCGAGGCAAAAGTACGGAAGCGATGGCAGTTTAAAAACTCACAACATTAGGAGACGTCGTTGTTGCGTAAGATGGCTGACCTGGCCGAGTCACTACAAATATACCCTGGGCTTAAACAGCGAATGGACGACACATGTTCTTGTAATGCCGAAAGCAGGATCCGCCAAGTTTTATTGTATTACCGAAATAATGGGTATAATTTGTGTTGCCCATAGTTCACGTCTTCCTCCGCCAAGATTTTACTACCTACATAGTGTAGAGGATGTATGCATACAGAGGAGCCGCTTTACATTCGCGGGGACAAGATGACAGAAGAAAATGTAGGAATAGAAGAAGCCCCCAAATGCAAGCAAACCAGCAACAAAGATTCCTACTATTCTCAAAATAGCAGAAGGGAAAGTGTAACGCAGGTTCACAAAAAGAAACGCCGATTCATCCAGTGTGTGCATGAAGTATCAACTCCCAAGTCTATGCTGCCTTTAATGCAAAAGAAAGGTCGTCATGTGTCGTGAAATTGTTGTCCGCGATGGTGTCACCAGGGACGATATGCCGGTTTTTTTTTTCCTTTTTTTTGTTCGTATTTGTAGAAAATGGGAGGCTTTACCAAGGCCCAACCCGCACGGGGGATCCATATGAGCCGGACATGAGTCGATTGAGAATAGAATTCTGCTCAGACGGGTTGCCTTGCGTGCTAAGTCCCGGACCCATCCAGCCTACACTGCTAGCCATGGC